TTTATTATTGTAAAGAGGGAAAACATAGGTAAATGATATGATAATGTGTGATTAGATAACCATGTTGTGCATTGATTATAATATTCTATAGCTAATTCAAGATTATTTGAAGATTATTTTGACAGACATAATTGTATTTGTTTTCGTCTTATTATTAGTTATTACACCACGATGATGATACGTAGTTCTACTTAAAAAAATACCTATGAACTTCAAATCTGGAAATACATTATATGGACGCAATTTTTTTGCTTATCATAATATTTGTTTCGTTTAGATAAAAAATGTTTCCTTCGGATATTTCGTTCTGTTTTCGATGCTAACATAAATATTTAGGTGTGCTGGTTTTTGTGGCTCACTATGTACACATTACAGAAGAGACAGGCACATTCGTTATGCTGCTGTATGATACGCTCCACATAGAGAACGAAATATCATTCGCGAACATACAGAATACATTTTCAAAGATAATCTAAATTATCATACCGTGCTCGTTGGTTACTTCAACGTAGATGGGAATAACCAACGTAGTAGGGTGCTCGCAGACTGTTTCAGTCGGTATTATTCGCATACGTTCAAATAAAATTCATTATACTACTCGGTATAATACGTACCTATGTATATTTATAGACACAGTCTTTGGCTTCGAAATCATTTACGTTACTAATTACATTTATTCCATGCTTGTCATCCTTCGCGTTACCGATTTTCGAGTGCAGTTAGTTAGAACAGGTAAATGCCATATACTTACCTACGCATACTACTACTTCCTCAGTAGCATTAATTATTATTAGCCACTATATTGTTTGGTATTAATTCAGCTGTATTTACTCTGTTATTGGCCATTAGTTAAGGATCTACAATTTTAAGTGGATTTTAAATTATTGGAAAATGAATAATACATAAAGGATGATTACACAATTACCCTTTGAATCACTGACCGTAATTATTATGGTTTAACTTCACTGAATGGACAAAACCCTCCCTGTCTTTTAACAATGTATTATTCGCAATATATTTTCAGTGTGCATGTATAAACTTAATCTATATTAACCTTATACAGCTTTATCGAATATCTATTGCTTTATTCTATTTTTATTTATTACGAAGCTTTGTTCGAGAATAAAATAGTGTTTTCATTAACATATACAGGTAGAATATCTTCGTTTATTTTGAAAATACAAATAGATCAAAGGGGAAGGTTTTAATAAGCTGAAACTTTATGAGTACTTTATGAAAATATAATGTCTGACTAGGAATATTCTACTTCGAAAAAAAAGATTTCAAATCGTTTTGGAAAAATTATTTTTGGCTGCGGGGGTCTATTATAATAATTTTTGGTGAATAGACATACCCCGAAATCTTACGCATTCTCGAGAAAAAAATTCAGTTAATGGACAAATTTTTCGATGAAATAAAAAATTTCAAATCATTCTAAGAAAATTATTTTTAGTTGCAGGGGTCAATTACAATCATTTTTGGTGAATACGCATACCCCCGAAATCCTACATACTTTCGAGACAAAAATTCTTGACCGAAAATATACTATGTGGCCGGAAATGCTTCCATAACTTTTTAACGAAGCCTCAATCAACAAATTAGTTTCCTTGATTTTCGTCCTATTTTGGCCTCTAGAATCTCCCATTACAATTTTTTTTGCCAAACACCCTGTATAGTTTACATATGGTTCCTGAAAACTTGGATATATTAAATCTACTCACAGCCAAATGAGCCCTTCATTTCCAAACGGTTTCTTCGATCAAGGAGCTTGGAGGTGTTTCGTCATTAATAAACCGCCCCAGAAAATACGATTTAGCCGCCCTTTTGTCCCTACATTTGCGCCCTGTCTTTCAAGATCGTTTTCAAGGGAGAATTCTCCTACCAACGCTTCATTTTAATCAATTTAAACCTTGTACCAATTTCTAGACTGAAATCACCTCAGTCTCTAAACGGCTAAAACCACATTAATCTTGTTATTGTTGTTTTTTTTTACGGTTTAAATTAGATGCATAAATGAACAAAATATTGTATTCAAGCGACAAAATATCACATGGGATGGTTTAAATTATGAAAACATTTAAATTGTGTTTGAAGTCGTATTAAATTGCCTGAAATTTATACCATTTATAATATGTATATGGTATTGATGCGATTGAATGTTTGAAAAGTTTCGATGTCGTATTGGGGAAATATTGACATAAATTGTATGTGCACAAATATGTGGGCCATCGTATTGCTTTATATTTTAAAACTGTTTCATCAAAAACTATAAAATTTGATATACTGATTTCTATGTATGGACCATTGATGTCATTCAATTTTTGAAAAAAATAACCTTAATTCTTTATTGTCCTCATACACTCCATTAGAAGTTTTGTCGACGACGTTTAGTTTTAATAGGTCCCGTTAGAAGTTCTGACCATTAAAAGCGAGAAAACTTGAATCGTTCGAATATAATGCCGTGAAAGTTGCGCAACAACGTTTCTACCTTTTAAAATAATAATTTCATATACTTGGAAGTAGCTACGCGAATCGGAGTTCCCTTCGCTGACAATAAGATTCGTGACGAGACTTTCGAATTGGACGAATTAATGCTCCGAACGTGTTCATTTCGTTCGTTATTTTAATTCAATTAAAAGTTTCAGCGCGCAGACCAGCAGTAACACCGCGCCAGCAAAAACATCTTGAGTGATCCAGCTAGCCGCTGTCAGGAGAATGCTTTAAAGGGCATTGCACATGAGCGTTTGCGTTTGCAGTTGCATTTTGCTACTGAACGTTTTAGCAGTGGCCTCAAAGGAAGATCTTGAACTGTGGGTTGTAAACGGAGGCTCTAGATCGTCCGTTTCCTAACTAACGATCGAAATCCTCAGTTTGGAAACGAAAGCGCTCGGTAGCGTAATGTCAAAGCAAAGTCCGCCATGATCTTATTTAATATTCTTCAAATCTAAAGTTTCAAAACACTACATTCGTTTGTTGAATTTTTCATTTGATTTAAACTGGGTGGACTATTATTTCTTCATCATTTTTATTGATTACTATTTATTCTCAATTTAGTATCTGCAATTTTCCCACGCGTTTAGACATCTATGGCTTTGTGTTATCCAAATTGATTCGCGAGACATAGGGAAATAGAAAACGTAAGCAAAATTCCAAGCAAACGCAAACATAAGTGTCTTTCGTATGAAGATTTTGAAGCTGCAATCAAACCAGTTTATGAAGATTTTATTGAGGACAATTTGTCACAGCTGAGCAGAAATAATAACGATTACACGAGTTCCGTGATCTGGTCGTTGAGTACAAAAATATTTTCCAGTTGCGCTAAAACGATCGAGATTACTTGCCTACATTGTTACAAACATTTTTATCGATGGATACATAACGGTTTCATCAGTGATAAAAGTCATAAATCTGGATGCTGGGTTCGGCTCCCACAATTTTTGGGGAAAAAACGATAAACACTGATTGAACGCAGCAGGACAACGAGCGAAAGCGATAAAATTGGTTCGTCAATCTCGTAGAGCGCGTACAAAATAAATCGGGAACATAGCAGTGGAGCTAAAAGACTTATATATAAAAAAAAATAACTAATTAGAAGTGAGTTAAGCAAACCACTAACTTTATTTTCTTTTGCGTTTTTCTTGAATAACAGTTTATAAGTTGATCATCACAGAATATCGAAAACTACTATTGCGATAGATTTCAAATTTTAATAGGATATTCTTTTATATATTATTTAAAATAGCATTAAAAATTGTGTTTATTAATTATAAAATATCTGATTCTAGATTATCTTAGTCATTTGCTACGAATTCATAAAAAATTAAAATTAAAAAACAAACGGCCACGCGATACTATAGCTACTTCTTTTATGTAATAGAATTATTGTTTATTTTTTAATTTCGGATCAGCTAATTCCAAGTTACAATAAGGGCCTGTCAAGCAAACAATCGATACGTTGTTGTACTATTTTTTAACACAAATTTTATAAGATATACATCCAAGTGAGTATATTTATTTATAGCTACATGTTAAAAGTTCCCAAATATTGGCATCTTTTTAGGAGATCGGGATAGTTATAGTTAGGGTGATAACAAACTCTAGCACTTTGAAAAATTCAGTTGTTTTTGTTTGCATTTCTTATTGCCTAGGATCTCAAAAATATGAGAAATATTTTATTAAAACTCGTAAAAATAACGTAGCTATAAATGTTTTACCGCGCAAGTGTTGGAAGCGACAACGGCGAGACCTTTAGCCTTTGTTGAGAATAAAACTATACCGTGAATGCATAAAAAGTAATGTAGGAAGTGAATTGAAAGAATGCATCTAGAATGGACGGAATTTAGTTTTTAAAATCCCCCACGGGATACGGAACTAAAATCGAGCAATGACGAGCGTACACGTCGAATGCAGGGTAAATGCTTCTATTATAAATAGACTGCCGATGTTTATGCATTTATGGAAAATTTTAATTCTCAAAAAACTGCAGAATGCACTTAAAGCAAGATACGAATAATTATATTTAGTAATTATTTATTTCACACGACGAGTATACACGTCAACCACATGGCAATAGAGCTTTGGATCGACGTGTACCCACGTCTCACGCAGTTGACTGATGAAAGAACTTGACTGGGACCTTCCATACATATAAATGGTCTCGAAGCTTCAAAAATTCTTAGCTTGTATCTAACCCGATCTTAGAGTGGTCATAAACAAAGCATCCCTGGTCCGGCTGGGCGCAACAAAAACACATTGTTAACGCGACCGAGTAGCAGTGTAAGCTCGGAAGCGTGCACGAAGCGCGCATCATTTTTCGCAGTGACACGCCAAAGAAATTCGGGGGCAACGGGTAGAGGGTTCGCGCGAAGGGGGATGCTTTCGAGGCCGAGTAGGGAGCTTGCGCCTAGCCAGGCCGACTGGTTCGAGCAGCAGCCAGTCGCCGGCTGCCGGGCCACGACCTCGCATCTCGCTCAGTTCGCTCCTACCCTCGACGTCGAGTTTTCGCGGTCACGCTTCTCGCACTCGATCGAGTCTTCCTATTTTGCTACCGACCACGCGAGTCGAAACCGCTTGCGTCCCCTCCCAATTTCACGCCAGTTTCCCCGTAACGTTGGATCAACCAAAACAGTGACGAGTCGAGCGTCCAACGTTTTTCCAGAGAGAAATTCTGTGCGGGGCAACGACAGTGACACAACGTCTCGAACCAGTGTGAAATAGAATCTAGGAATACCAAGACAGGGCGTTATCAATTTTTTTATTTTCGATTTTGGAAACACAAGTTACCGTTTGGGGATGGCGGATGGATGACAGACACAGGCTTCGCGATCCGGCGCTGGTCAAAGGTGTTTTTCGGCAACGGGGGAACCATGTGAGGCTTCGACCATGAGGGTGAGTTCTGGCTTTTCTAAACCCGAGGTCTCTTTTCGTGCAATGTATCTGCGCAATCGTGTCGCGGAATATAAATATTCCGACGACACGAACCCCGAAGGTGCTCGCGAAGCCCAAGGGTCCATCGAAGTTCGATGGAAATTTTCAACAAAGTTACGATCGCGCCGCCGTTTAAGCCCACTCGTTGCGTGGTGCTGATTTATAGCGCGCTGAACGAACCACGCAGCTTCCGGGACGAAATTATTTTCACACGACCGCTGTCGGGATTAAACGCTCTCGCGAAAGGATGTGTGTGTTACCTCGTGGGTAGCGTATATCGAACGGAAGATCTGTCAGCTCTGATTGCTTCGTGTTTCGAAGAACTTGAGTCTTGGTGGACTCTCCTAGTATGTAGATGACTTACGTGTTTTGTAATATTGGGATGCAAATTGAATACGACTAGGTTCGTGGGAGCTTCCGTGCGTTGAATATTTGTTTATTAATTGATAAGGAAACTGGTACGGTTGTCAATCGAAGTACGTGGTGTTTGAGAAAATTAGTATTGTTATGTTTTTGAAATCGTTGAATTAAAATCCGTTGTCAAAATTTCAAAACTTTTAATGGAAAATCCCCAATTACCAGCAAAGTAAACATGTGGATTTCAGTTAACTTATATAAAGTAATATTTTTTCGCTTTCGTGTATGAAGACTTTTATGAACTATTGTACACATTTATTACATTTTGTGAAAATACATGGTAATTTTAGTTCAACTCTTTTTGCATTTCTTTCGAAATATTTTTGTATAGGGTCAATTCTTTCACATTTTGTTTTAATTTTAATGCATGTGTCATTGAAGGATCCATGTCGTAAAGAAGGTGTAAAACATCGGCATTTGTAGCGACGGAGAGACCCACTATTTCGGAGGACACTGCAACTATAAAGATCGTGAAAAACCCGCGTAGTTCGAGTGACAATTGTAATGATAAAACGTCAACCTCGTCAAGCACCGACAAGAATCGCGATCGATTGTAGAAATTGACCCCTTTTTAATTTGCGACTGCATTTCGCGGTACACTTTATCCTAGAGGAAACGTCGATCTTCTGTCTCTTGATGATCGAATAGCCAATCACGTTAGAGGAACCTCCGGATAATTGTCACCAAACCCCGCGGCACGATCGCCGCAGACAATTCAAAATGACTCCGAACGGAACAGTCGACCTACAGCAGTGATGAATAGAGAACGATGTTTACGCAGCGAAAATCGAGATAGGTATCGTACAAAGTACAATGTCAAACATTCGAAACTGTGTAACTGTACGTGCACATAATTACAACTCATCCGCCAACGGTATTTGAAGCAGTCGTTCAAGATTAATTTAGCGCTTAATAACACTGTCCGGAATTTTACCTTTCAATACCAACTGGGTGATCCTTGCAAAGCCTCAGTCTCCAAACAAGAATCGAGAAGAAAAATACAATTCATAAATTGTTTTTGATATTAAAAAGACTAGTCGACCTCAGATGAGGTTCCAGAGATTTTTCTCCCTTTTATGGCGCCTAAAACAACAGATTGGCTCATGCAATTTTAATTTCGATAGCTGATTATGGACAAGAGGAGGAATATATCTTAATGAACCTCGTGCATTTCTAAATTCTTTACATTCTATTCGGGGTTCAAATTAGGATTTAGAAAATGATTGTCACAGTGTATATTAATCTAGTGTCTAACAATAATGCGAGACTCATGAAGAGCTGGGTATCGCGTACGTCGTAGGATTTCTGGTATCTTGATTGGACCTCGTTCGTTTGTAGATTCCTTGCATCTTATTTAGCATAGCAATGCAAATTGAATATACGAGATACATGGGGGTCTCCACAACTCGGATATTAGTTTAATACTTGACAACAAACGTGAATTCATAATCAAGCGTGCTCTGCATTCGTCTTAATACAATTCCCAATGTTCTTATGGATCTCGTACGTTTCTAAATTCTTTGCATCTCATTTCACGTTGCGTTACAAATTGACTGTGGTCATATTAGACATACTACTAGGGAAATTAGTTTACTTCTCGAGAATAAAACGGTATTCATGGATAGCTGTATACCCTATCTGTTTTTGGAGAATTTTTACAATTTCTGTCCTTCAACTTATCTTGCTACAAATGTGTAAATTAGTATTTTTATCAAATCTATAATGTAGAGTTATGTATTTTTCCCTCCTCAGTGGTACATCACGCGTTGAATTCGTGAAGATAGGCATTTTTGTATATTACCTTGACTATCTATTGCTAATAGAGTAAAAATACTAATAACTCAAATAAAAATTTAATCATTTTTTAGTAGTAACATGGGAACAAACACGAGCATTTAGAGATGAAAATTGAAATTGGGTGCTTATAAAAGAAACACGCGTTCCTTAGATTTTCGTGATGGAAAATAAAACAGAATGAGAATCGAAACGTACCAGCGATCTTTTGTAGTTTTGCGAGTGGACGGCTAATCTCGCGTAAAGTTTTTCCTCGCGGTGTCAACGTGGAAGATAACGAAGTATGTACTCCGAAAGACGAAAGCGGCGCGATAAGCTGGCAAAACTCGAATTCCGGGCCGGTCCGCCTGTAAACGAAACTCGAAACTTACGGGACCGTCTCGCGTAATACGTTTAATCGTATTATTAATACGGAGACGGGAATAATATGGGTTGATGATGTCTGTACGCCCGAGCGTATGATTCGATTTCGGCGCTCGACAAAAAGCGTGTTCCGAGTTGCTTGGAAGCAAGTTTTTTCCCGGGTTCAGTGTATCGAAGAAACTGGTCGCGAAATTCGATTAACGATCATCCGCGCCGCCAGGAAATGGAACTGTCACTTAGGCAGTCACCTGTGGCGACACCTTTCATACTCGCCGACAGAGGGACACGCTCAACTTTTGCTTTTCTCACAAGTACTCGACTGACCTAGGGAATATTCCTAGACTTGCTCGGATAATACGAAAGGATCGTTGGATATTCATAAATCGTGCAATAAAATCGAGAAAAACATTTTGATGATGTAATATTGTACATCTGTTTAAGTTTAATTGAGTGAATCTTATTAGAATTTTGAAAAAACCGAAGCAATAGAGTTTCTGTTTAGTTACATATGTTCTCTCTTTTGCTCTTATTCTGAATATGTCTTTCATAAGAAAGACTGTATGAACTTAAATTTGCCATTGATTTTGTCATTAAATTTTCTTTTCAAAGATGAAGCATATTTGATCATTAATGATGTGTTTTTCGTTTGTCTAACATCAGTTTCATGCAGTCAGCTATAACTGTATGAACTATAGGTAATTTTAGAGAATGGCACCAATTTAAAAATTTTTATTTTTGTGACCCAGTGTGGCCGTAAACAAGTGCTAATCAAATCCAGAGCAGCGGAGAAATTTCGCACAACGGTAGTGTTATTATTCATTCCAGAAGCGTCGCACGGATCTCTTGCGAGACATTTCAAACAATTTTCTTGCACGCTCGTAAACTTAGCCGACTACAGGCAAAGCATAAATATTTCAGGCATAGCTCCTCTGAAAATATAATAAAACGACGCTTCCGGTCGGGCAAACAATTCCCTCGAGCTGCCTTTGATGTACATGTCAATACTCGAATGCAATAAATATGTCAGCGATCGGAAGCTCTGATGCGCTATATACGTATATACTGTAGGTATGTAAATGACAGTAAATTTTTCATTTTTGCGATCGTGGTTGCGAATTATCGAATTCCCTTTCAAACTAATTGGAAGCTACTTTCGAAACTGTTATAATTCACATTTCAAAAGTTGCGATACAAGGATTAGCATTTGGAATTAAATAATTTTGGTTATTAACTAATCATTGTGAAGGATTCAGTTGTTTCTTTTAGCTAGAATAACCATTATCAACGGATGAATGAAAGAAAAGTCATTTATAGACGTTCATAATGGTTATTTGTAACCAGAATAATTAATTAAAAATTAATATTCTTTGGTAACTGTAAATATTCGAATGAGTTAATGAAAAAGTATTATAATAGAGAATACAACAAGTATCGAAAGTATTTAAAATAATAATAAAATAGGAAGATAGACCTAATCCAGAAAAATACATTTTATGTCAAGTTTCATATAATATGTATCATTTTGTGTTAATTTATTTATTTGCATATCCGAATTATTTGCCCATTAACGCGTGTATCCAAATTTCCGAGCGGATAGGAGTATATTTTGTTAAGAATAATTTATTACGAGTCTTTGTTTGATAACGAAATATGTTTATTTGAAAAATGAATCGAAAATAAAATTAGCGAATGATTTGTCTCTCGTCGGTTCGCGTTTCCAAATTAAATATCAAATTATAGATTCAGAGTAGCGGATTAAGGGGGTTCGTAATACCATTGCGAGTGAAATTCTCGAAGCGTGTGCGTTTCGTTCAGATGAAACGAAAATTGTGTTCGCATTTCCCTTTGTGTCGTGCCTCCTTTGACATTTCTGATGCGCAGAATCTTCGGATCTGAATAGAATCCAAGAAAATCACGCCATTTCCACCGTTCTATTTCTTATTACGAGAAATGCACTGATTATCGCTTCGTAAAATATATTAACACTATAACGAAGTAATCGATACAATGAATAAATATTCATTACTTCCATATTACAATTTATTTATGAACCCAAGCTGGATATTGTAGTCGATGTAAATATTTATATATGTCGTTGCTAATTTACATTCTGCCTGTGTCGAGTGATAATCTTCTTATACTAATGACACGAGCTTAAGTGATTTTAAGTTTAAAAGTATTTTAACTGTCCTTTCGCAACATCTTTTAATCCCTTGAGTACGGAGATTAAAGATATGATTATCAGTCTGGATAAGACGGTTTTGTAGCTTTCAACGTAGAAATAATAATACACAAACTACTTTATACGCCCCATAAATATACTTCACTTTAATAAATCGTACAAAGAGCAACAATTTTTATCTTTATCTAAATCGTCATACGTTATA